CCAACAAAATGGGATCAAAACTGCATCTGCAAGAATCAAACCGATCAACAGCTGTCTCCAGTCGACAATCAAAAGACAAGCAGCCACTTCACGGTGTAACCTCTAGGTGAGCCAAGCAAAATGTAGGGAACAATAAAGCAACGCCACGTTGTCAACAGTCCAGCATCACACGATGGCAGAGGGGAGCATTAATGACAAGCCGCAATCAAGACAAAGACTAATGATGGGTGCTAGGTCAGAGAAGACGGGGAGATGACAAAGCAGTGCTACGTTGGCCATCGTTCGAGGATAACATCCACAATGAAGGTGGAGATATTCAAATAAGTTTCACCGATGTCAGACACAGTGTTCAGGAGGGATTTTCAAGTCATCTGTTTTGTTACAACAGGCGTGGCGATTAGAGTACCACTACGGGACCCTTTGGCTAATAGGTGAGCCGCAACTAGTCAGCCTTAACGGAGCACGTTTGATGTGAAAAAATATAATTGAGGTTTACATCATAATTCGGCTCATCCTGGGAGTTGGCTTCCAATCCTGCCCAAGGAGTCACTCTTTAGGGATCTAACATGAAAAGGCTTCCACGAGCATTCGTGATAACATTTTAAAAATGGAATGCATGAAATCTTAGGATTGCTAATTCACGGTTCTTCGCTAGCTTGATAGCTTCTACATTTTTATCCACTAGTAAGGGTCTGGGGATTTGCCCTACGTGTTGAATGGCCGCTTTGGTGTTTGTTTTCTTGCAGCTGATCTTTGTACGAGGGAAACAATTATCGGTCGGCTTCTTTACACGCAGGTGCTGTGCTTATACTAAGCCAAAAAGCTCATAACTCACCGTTTCAACAGGTATCAATAGCTCCACTGCTGGATGCGTCCAGCTACAGGCGATAAACCAACACTAAGATCAGTGGAACTGACCGATAGGTACTTCCTCACACACTGTCTATGATTAGTCCTTATCACGGCCGTAGTAACTGATTCCTCCTTTTGATTTTTTAACCGTACTGAGGTGCAAATGTGAGCCTTGCTGCAAGCCTAAAACTTTCTCCATAGATATGGAGTGGTGGGAACGCGACGGGCCAGTTAAAGAAAAGAAATCACTTATTGATGGAATATTGCCGCCAAGCTAGCAAGATCTCGTGCCAACATTACATTCAGCACGACACCGTGTCAAATGGTCCGAGTTATTGGTCAGTTGGATTGTTTCCGCGACTTCAGCGAAACCGGTCAATGTCTCATTGCTTAAAATTTCCATGCACCCAGTGTCAGTTGGGTTGAAATAGCCTCATCAAGATCGCGCGCTTCATTCTACAGCTTTCTTTTATGGAAAAGCCTTGACACATTCTGCCTGCAGCCCCCAACATATTGGCTCTAGTTAAAGATCATCCACGCTAGATGATGTGTTAGCACGTGAAGTGGATGAATTTTTCTAACTGTTAACTCCTCCGCTATTAGCAAACAATAACGGTGTAGCATCCCACTATAGCTCACAGTTGATAATACTATTCATTGCCAAGTTCATCCCCACCTGAATGTCTGGAGGACAAACTTAACAGCTGAAAGACGACGTGCTTTCCCTGTAGACTGGTCAGTTGATGTGTCATTGCCCGTTGATCATACGTGAAGTAAGCCTTGGACATACACCTCTACAAATTCCGGACCGTGTACATTAAATATCTGAAAATCCTTTAGATCACAGACTTCGCGAGGTAGACCCATAGTTGGACTGTGAAGCTTCCATATTAGAGCCGGTCCAGAGAGTAGTTAACAATACAGTCAAAGGCCCTATACCCTCTGCTATAAAGAAAGACTAGATCGGTTGGATAGTTTCCACTGTTTTGCCGTAAGATGAAGGCTGGCCATATCTTTTGGCTGCAGTGGCCGCTGTATGTCAGCGCCCAGTCCACTTATCAGTGAACGACCGTCACGTGAGGGATTTAGTCCCTGTTTTTGTGATGAGCCAGTGTCTATCAACAGCACCATGGCTCCAGAAGTGGAGTGCCTTATCAGTCAGTCACCGCTGGAAACCAGTGGGAGACATCACCAAAGCGTGATGTCTAAAAGTGTGCCAACGGTGGGAGCAAAAACCGAAAGACCAGACCTCATAGCTGAGGCAAGGAACTAAGTGCACCTTAAAGCCAAGAGGGAACTATGACATGCATGGTGGATCTCCAGACGGGGCCAGATAATAAAGTACACACGCCCTTAGAAATCGATATAATATAGAAGTGCGCGAAGAAGGGCAGTCGTCTAGGCAAGCCCTACCTACAGGCTTGAGGCAAACCCCGGGAAATTACATCGATTTATGGAAACAAGAAAATCTATCTCATTGTGAAAAGCGCGAAAGAATAGAACATGTGGACTGCAGCCGCTAAAACGTTTAGTGCCACCTTCGGTACACAAATAAACATCCCGCCACCCAACCAAAATTACCAGCCACTTGAACAACCTGCAACATTGCCCGATGTAGAAGAGTCGCACAGAATACGGATAGCCCATGCTATGGTCCTCGGAAAACTATCAAGGTGAGCACGGGAAAATCCTCAGGATGCGGTGACATTCGGCCACCTGTGTTGAAAGTGCGCGAGAGCCCTATATAGTCCGCTCCGTAACCTGTTGGAATACTCTCCAGATGAACACGTGCTCACAAGAGGGTGGAAACGTGACATTCTCTGTCCCATCCCCAAGGGAGGAGACAGTCAGAACCCAAAGTGCCATCGATTTATAAAACTTCTACTGGCATCGTCGAAAGCTATAGAGAGTCTGATGGGCGATCATGCCAAAGAATACTTAGGCAAAAGGGAAGCACTGAGTGATGTTCAACACGATTTCCGAAAGGATAGGTCCCGCGTCTTGGACCTTCCGGCAGCCGGCGATAACTGTAAAGCATGCTTAGACCTCCAAGTCATTGTTCGCGTGATTCTCCTGGACTTTACCAAGACATTTGGCTCAGTCCCACGCACCATCCTCATTCGCAAGATAGCAACGTTGGGTGTCAGCGATCAGGTGCCATCCTGACTGGAGGAATATTTGGGCGACAGAGAATTCCGCACAAAAGTCGACGAGGTTTGCCCGGCTTGCAGAACATCACAATATGGTGTATCACAAAGAGCGGTCATGGGTCCGCTGCTCTTCTATCTTTCTGTGAACGACCTCCTACTGTATCTCAGCCCCCAATCCTACCTTATTCTGACAACGTTTAGTTGTCAAGAACTGTGACGTCCAGAAGAGAATCTAGGGCACTGAAAGGTGACTTCGGACTGTGGGTGAATATTAACGGACTAGGATTTAATCTAGATAAATGCCGAATCATGTTCCTCTATGCTCTCAACCTGCAGAAAGTATTTTACTGTCTTTGTGCTACGTACCTTTCCCACACGACCACACGGAAGGACCTGGGACTAATACTGACTCACGGGCTAGACAGGAGTCCTGGTTATCCAGGAGATGCTTCCAGGATTAACTCGGTGCCAAACTACATGCGCAGACGACTAGGTGTCACCAACCCGGAACTCATTCTGAAGCTCTACGAGACCTGCAAACGACCTCGCTTATACGTCCGCAAGGTTATTGCACCGCCACATCTGAAAAGGGATGTGGACCACGTGGAGGGAGTTCACAAGCGGGCGACGAAGGGTGTGTTGGGAATGCGAAGAAACCATATGAATGGAGGCTGGAGGACCTAGACCTTTACTCTCTTGGTTACCGCTGGTTACGTCGCGACCTGATAATGGCTTACAGGATACTGAATCCGAGCTGCCCGAGCAGTGGAATCCTATCGGACGGTCATTGTGGCAATCCTCTCGGAAACTCAAGTGGAATTTCCCATCAGTGGGCGAAGACCTGTGTCCGTTCACACCTTTTCTTCCTCCGAGTTTGCGACCACTGGAATTCAGTCACCTCCATACTGACTCCTTTGTACTACTCCTATTATCAAGTAATCAAATCAGCCTTATACTTCCCAGCTAGATATCCTACCTTCAGTTACCACATACCAATTAGTAATATTGTCACTCCTATTCCCATTATTCCTCCCACAATCGTATCCGCATCTTCCTCCCCATCTTACCTTGCGATTCCATTCTATTTATTGAGGTTCTCCCTATCACAGTTCTCTTTCCCGTCTCCCTCGGGTCCACCCAGGTCTCCTCTATCCATGCGTTCTGCCTTTTTTCAAATTACCTTTTCCACTTCCTCTCCTTTGTTGTCGCTAGTGATCTTTTCATCCCTTCCACAACCAGTCCGAACAGTTGTCTCGCGACACTGCATTTGAGAAGACCATCTGCACCACAGTCCTTGAACAAATCATATAACCCTCACAAAGTTAGCCAACACCCAACCATCTACTGGGTTTACCAGAACTGCTGCATCGGAATCCACCAAAAAACCGGAACTGTTCCGAAGGACTTAGAGTTGAGTACAAGATGATCAACCGGTTCACACAAGCTGGTATAATGAACTTCGGTGAAAAATGGGCGTCTATGTTGACGCTGCAAAGAGAAGAACTTTGATTCTTTTTACAAATCCCCATGGATTCTAAATATGTGACTTTCAGTTGCTCGCAGCCTTGATGTCGTGTGGTTTACGTGATGGTGTTAGGCAAAGTTTGTAGGTGATGAGCATTTAGGGTGGACATTGGTCTGCAGAATATACTTTGAAAGATGTTGCAAGTTGTGTACGGTTGATAATTAGCTTTTAGTTTTTGTGTAACCCGTTTTAGCGAATGGCAATTTTATTTTGATTAGAGCATTCGAAGTATACCCTAGTCGCCTTAACAATAATCTGTAGGCTGTGAAAAATTGATCAGACGCCATCGTCAAAAAACAGCTGGTGGAATTTTTCGACAGAAACTGTTTACAGATTTTCAATGTGCTTTCATACCAGTGAAAATTGAAGCTGCATTGTTTTTTACATCCACAATTTGAAGCTAAGTATTCGAAGTGTTACGAAGTTTTCACAAGTTGTTACATTAGGTCTATTATTCGCAATCTGATCGGTCAATGGGGATTGAAAGATTTTGCGAATTCATCGGAAAATCGGGTCGAAAAATAGAGCACTATAGCAAATTCATTCCTGTCGCGTTAAGCTTGAAGAACCTTATAGTTTTTGGTAAGTTTCTATGAGCCTGTCGTATGGTAGTTTCTTCTGTAGGTGAAACTGCTCCAGCTTCAAAGTCATTTGAGTTCCTAAAATATGAACTTCCAGTGCGTTTTGCTAACATCATGCAGGAGTTTCGCCTTCTACCCTCTGTGCTGAGAGAATCAAGAGCTGTGCAACAAATATGTTCATTGTGAGTAGTATGTTTTGTTTAACATTTTAATAGATACGAAGAGACGTTTGATACTCTGATGAAATATGAGGAATGTTCACCAAGGGCACCATCTGTTGTTTCTGAATTCACAGATGACGTTGATAACATTTTACAGAAACATTCAAGAATCGTTGAAATTTTGGCAGTGGTAGGATGATACCTTTTTATATCACAGTGTAGGGCGTCAAAGAAATCCAGAATAGTAGATCGTGGTGTGAGGATCAAGAACTACAACTGCAATATTTTCTGGATCGTTTTTATGTGAGTAGAATCGGTATACGAACATTATTGAACCAGCACCGTAAGTTTAGTCTTTCGCTTTTATTTTATTTACATTTTTATGCACTACAGCGTCACAATGAGAAGTGTATGGCCGATGATTTAATATCAAGATGATGAGATGAAAGTGAGAGTTTGACTGAATGCAAACCAGCTTGAAATGTTTGTTTATATCTGTTGTTTCTGCAGAGTAGCGCGAAGTTTGGAACCAGCTGTCTTTCGAACGTTTTGGTGTCCACAATGGATGAGTCACAGGTTCCAATGACTGAGTATGAGCAAATCAAGTTCAAGATGAATCAAACGACTGATGAGGTTGGTTTAGGTGTGATGTTCTTGTCATTGGAGCTACTTTTGGGGCTTAACGTTTTGGTGATGTATAATTCCTGGAAAATGTACCCAATCTATAGCAGATTAAAATGACCAAAGTACTATAAGTGTGTCATCATTCTCGTGGGGGATTTGTGCATCCCACTTGGACTTCTACCTGGCTATATTTGGTTTCAGATTAGGTTACTTATCAAGGATGTCGGTTTGTTCAGAAATAAGTGACTGCCAGTAGTATTCTGAGTTTGAAATATAACGTTGACAAACTACTGAATGGTGTACGTACTATAAATGTTCTTTTGCCAACCCTGACGATTAATAATTAGTGCGGTAGAGTCACGAATTCTGGAGACATGAGACTAAAACTAATGACTGTTATTCACATACTGAGGAGAGTTGGCTTTGCGGGAATTGTAAGTTTGAGATGAAACTGTAGTATGGTTAGGGTATTTCTTATCTTAGATCCTGCCGTGATATTTTTGGTATAGGTACTCAACTATCAACTGAATGATTACAGACTCAAGCTTTTGCATCCACCGCAGCTTAGGTATTAGGCTACATCAATTATGTACTGCCGGCTGCCCAAATTTTGGTAGGTGAAACGCTTTTCGAACCTGTAATCCATCGGTTGGAAGTCAATTCCCTATACCAATGAGCCATGGCTCCACCTCGATGTTTCTGGTAGTTGTCATGTTACAAGGCTTAACTTGCTTCTCTATGACTTGGTAATTGTGTTTTAGATGATTCTAACGGGTTTGAACATTGAAACCTGAGATCCTAAGCCGGTGAGCCACCTCAAGAAATAGATTGTAGCAAGCTGAAATGTTCAGTTTTGTGCAGATCTGTTGCCTATTACTCTGAACATTGAGCCTTCAAGCAGAGAGTCATGGGAGCAAACGATGCCCACACTTCTCGTTCTGGACAGTCAGTAGTTTCAGTTGGTCTTACACGATATTTGGGGTTCATTGCTTAGTGTTTGAATCGACCATGTGAAGCTCATCTGAACGCAATTTCTCTTAATCCTCTTTTGATATTAGTGTTCGTGTTCAGTTCACAACTCGTCCACTGGTCTATACTTTCAGTTGCAAATTACCAGATCACGAAACCGAACCTCATGATTAACTTGTATTATATCCGAAGGACTTCGATGTTACTTTGTGATATAGTTCAAAAAACGAGAATCTTTCAGAAGCTCACTAGTACATGTTTGGAGATAACATTCTCCTTAGGACTTGCAGAAGAGCATCAGCACATGGGGAGTGGAGAGGATAGCAAAATGAAGAATATTCATCCGTAAATAACAGCTTTCATCCTTCAAGCTACAAGAAAGGTTTTTCTGAGGACCGTATATCAAAGATAGTGAATTCCGTACCCTCGGAAGAGATTGGAAGCATAACTTGAGTAGATCATTCCAGTGGAATAACTGCAGAAAGTGGGAGCAGTTACGAATTTATTGTTGTCCTGCAGCGTGTGGAAATTATACGAAGACTCATTGAAATCCTTCTACTCTCATGCTGTGCTCATCCTTATCGACTGTCGTCTTTGTATTGCAACTGGTATCATCACGACGATTAATCTAAACCATATAATTTTGTTTAGATGGCAATCCACATGGTTGTGTAACTTCCTCTTGTCATATTTGATCTCGCATTGTCTTACAAAACATGTCAGTAGTTTGACTTAATATTATTGTCCTAACCTACATTGTAGAATTCTAGTATTTTTCCCAGCTTCAGAACGATAAATAGCTTTCAGATCCTTAGTATAAAGTATCAATTTGCTAAAAGCATATACATATTTGTTTAAGCTCTGTGGCTGATAAAACCTAGGAGCTAAGATGATCATGTGTTCTACAAATGTTTTTTTCTGCGTTCATTTAATAAACGAAATATATGACAATCAATTACTCCACCTACGTCTACTTGGGCTGTCGCGCAGCACCATAAGTTCTTAATAGTAGATGTGGCTTCTAGTTTAATTGATTAACGGCGTATTAATAACTGTATGCCAAACAATTTTAATAGGATTTAGAATTCTCATCGTGTGGTGTTAGTTAGCTATTGACCATTTAAAGATCATCTGATCTATATTTTGGTCGGTGTCATTCCGCTCAATGAAGACAAAAAGCTTATTCGTTTGTAATAAGTATGATAACTCATCTGATTATGCGACTTCTGGGTGCAATTGGAACGTGATAGTCAAAGATGTGTGACGTGTGGTTGCGGACTTTTAGATCATCGCGACATTACCTTTCTTCGATGGGACTAGTGGGTAAACCACGCCGACTTAAGACTACCGGATAAAAGTAGGTCAATGGTGAGCTTATAATTGCTATTTTGGATTTAATGTATTGGTGTACTTACCTTTTAATCATCATCTCGCATATTGCTTTATTTGGTTGCATTTTGTCTACTTTCCCGTTAGGTTTTCACTGAAGTTTTATATTAGTTGTCGACACTAAGTATATGTTGATGGCAGCAAAAATGTCATGTATTATTTGTCAGGGATTGTCCTCAATCGCATTCCGCTCTTCAGTGTTTTTCTTGAAAAATTACAATTTACAATTCCGAGGTTTTGTGTTATCTCTGAGATCGATTTTGGAAAGTAACCTTAAACGTTGTGTTCTGAGCAAAAGACAAATAAACGTACTAAAATTGCATTTATCTGCATATATAGTAATTTTTATTCCCCCAGGTAGAGGCGATCAGAAATAATCAGAATCAAAACCTTTTGTTCCTGCTATACCTGAATTCTTGAAGCGGACCAATTGTGTTCGCTTATGTTTTGCTGTTATCATATTTCAAAAGCGTATAAATTTTTAAACAGGTTGTGTGTTAGTCTTTCTTACGTGTCTGTTATACTCGGGTTGTCTGCTTAACCAATCACATTTAAGTTTAATTGTGAGTGACCGGTTTGGAAACTTTTCGTATTTTAGTTTTAATTTGATGGAATCATTAGTTGGCTGAACTAAGGTTGTGCTCTTCAAATGGGTTGTAAAATGCCTTCATACTCAGTTTTTATACTTTCATAGGACGTCCAATGATTCTCTTGATTATCTACCTACATTATGTAACTTCGTATGGAAGCAATGTTAGTAACCATTTAATTGGGATGTATTAACTGAGAAATGCCGCAAAAATCTCTTCAGGTTTGTGGTTATGATGAAGTGCAGCTGGATGATGGGACTACTAGACCGATGACGGAAGTAGAGCTTCTACAGAAAAAGATCGATGAAACAACTTCAGATGTAGGTATTCCTTTTTTTTCTTTAGTGCCCCTGAAAGTTTTGCAGATTAATCACTACTTGTAGCTTCTTAGATACTTATTAACGGAAACTTTGTCGTAATTGAGGTGAATTCTCATATTAGTAGTAGTTTTAGAAACTCATTCCAAGTGCCTTAGTTATTCTATGTGAATTGTGCAGGCGTTTTTTGCAGTTCCTATAAACACTAAGTAACATATGAAGTAGATGGTTAGTTCTTCGGTATTGTGCGCTGGATTTGAGTGATTTAGTAAATAAGGGACAGTAACTCACTCCTACTAACTTATTTCGAGTTTACAAGCTAACATTTTCTTATTTTTTTGCAGTCGTTGGAAGCCTCTCGACGAATGATGGCTTTATGTGAAGAGGTGAGTCTCTATTCAATGATTGATAAATAGCGAATAATAAAAATTTAAACCGCTGATCTGATGAGTGTTTACGTAATATTTAGGCTAAAGAGGCAGGAATTTCGACTTTGGTTATGCTAGATGACCAAGGCGGTAAGCCTATATGTAGTGGTACTATGTATGAATTTATGTTGTCTTAATGTTGTCTAGACTCGGTATTAGCTATTCCCGAAACGTAACTTAACGGAACAGCAAATCTTGTGAGAATGTTGTGTTTTGCTTGAGGAGTAAAAGTGTGCTTTAACAGTTACACCATATGTTTGCATGTAGGCTTAATAACTGCGTTCTTGTTTTGGATTCACACCATTCTCGGTATTTTTAATATGCCGTTTCTTCTAGAGTCCAAGTTTTCTCTATATCTCTGCTTATGTTTGTCCCTAAATGATTTGTTTAATGCATGCGAGTGCTATTAAGAACTCATAAACGGTATCTAAAACAATCTTTCAGAACAACTGGATCGCATTAATGAAGGCATGGACCAGATTAACCAAGATATGAAAGACGCTGAGAAAAATCTGGATGATTTAAATAAATGCTGTGGACTTTGTGTTTTGCCCTGGAACAAGTGAGTTTCTTTTATTCTTCTTAAGAATTCTATCCAATTCTCATTGCAATTCACTTCAAACTCAAGTTTTTTTATTCGTCATCAAAGGTATAGTGCTAATCCACGAGGACTGAATGTTTTGTGTGGTGCAACAAATTACACCCTTCTTGCACGAAGTTTGCGAAGAAACCCAAGTCGATGGTCGTAGGAAACCTTAGACCACAGTTCAGAATTAATTGGGATTATCCAGATGCGTCTTTTCTTTGTCATCATTTAAGTTCAATTTTCGTCCTCTTATTGTTCCCTCCACCTGCCTCAGTCTACGTAGGATTTGATATAATTTTCATCTTACTGCGTTCCCTGTATACCGTACTGAAGCTAAATGTGATATTTTGAACCGATCGCAATTATACTATCCTTTTTTGTTTATGACATGGAGTTTTATTGGTTTTCACGAATAAAGCATCTTACCTTCGATGCAGGTTTCATTGGGATTTTCGACTCAGAAGGTATATGTTTGTAACTGAAGTTAAAGAATATGATCAAGTTTATAACTTTTATACAGATTGGCTATGCTAGTGATTTGTGTTTTTACTTTGATAAAAATTCAGTTAATATCTCTTAAAACTAATTTGTTTTGATGTGGCAGCACGCTTATGTGTTTTGAAATACAGTCTTGTCGTTTATGGAGATTTTCAACTAATTAAAGTATTAATGTTGACATCATTTTATAACAAAACACTCAAAGTTCCAAGAATTTCTCTTACTCGTACTTCTGTCAATGGGTTTACTCTTATGGGTGTTTCGTGTACTATCGTCATTTAGTGATATCAAAACCAGCTGGTATTCAAATTACTTGTTCCATAAGCCATTCGATTAATCTTCATACAGTAATCGAGCTACGTTTTTCCGCTCGTGGGAAGTCGAATCAATTTAGTGATTCCGTAAAATTTCATGGTTTTCGTTAGCATCACACTACAGATGTTAACTGCCCTAGGAATTGTCTATTATGCTTCCTTTTACTGGTAAAACCCATTTTTACTTTCACGATTGCCTCACTAATTTCCGTTCAATCTACTTTTATTACTGTTCCTGAAACTTCTGAACTCTTGGTCAACGGTTACTCCCAATTTTTGAACTGTCACTGAATGACAGCTAACTTGTAAACTGTCACATATGTGTTCCAAGAAGTGTAGCTAGTCAGACAATATTAATGGCGATTTATGGTTCATATTTCCGATTGGCATCTGGCTCTTCAGTACGGTGATAATCGGTGTTTTTACGGTTATAGTACTCTTACCCTTTTGGTGAAAACTTGACAAGAGGAGCAAAGCTTGAAGCAATCTGTTTGTCTTATACGTTATGAAATAACGTTGATCTTATTGCTTGGAAAGCTATCTGGATCATTGATATTGATTACCTGTGACTTACAAGTAAATTCGATTTTAAGAATGGAACACAGCATGGTCATCTGTAACCAAGGGTTAAATACTTGATTGTAAGATAGTAAGGTTCATTTTATTCGAGTTACAAAAAATAAACTGAACAAATGCTTGCTAAATAGTTTAACTGTTGTTCGAAGTACATCAGAAAGCTGAATTACTCATTTTTTCACTTCACGATATATGAAGAGAAAAAAGAAAGTAGAATAAGCTACTTTGTATCTTAACATCTCCAGTGAACTTGAACAGCGCGAAAGCAGGTGTAGCAGGATAATGCGAGCTCATCTTCATTAATTTGAAGATTCTCAACTGGTAGCAATCTTAGCAGTGTCAAAGCGTTGCAAAACAACAAAAAATGGTCATATTTTTATCAGGTTGACTAGTTCTTGACAGAACTGACTGATGAAATAGATAGTAAACAATGAATTTGTGAGCATGTCCCGAGGAATCTAAGATAAGGTCCTCATGCACTGAACAGCATGACTATGCATCACCTGGTTGCTACTAGACTGTGTAGAAAGTCTAAAATCGTTTAAAGTTGTTTAACAGACAAAAAATCCCGAGTTTATTACATGTTTCTGAAGCGACAACCACTAATGACCAAATTTTTGTTTTAAACTTTGCACCGCTGGTAATTATTTTACCATAAAGTGTATGGAAACCTTTGTTGCGTCATTCTAAGGTATTCTTGTTTTGTTTAGAATCTTGGTTTTTCGTCGGAATGCTGTTCATCCTACTCTTCAAGCTTCTGTAAATTCCAAACATATTTGCAGCTACGCAGTCTTTAATAAGTATTTACCATTTGGAGTTAATCATCGCTTCTATCTACCTTAACCTTTCAGGAATAATTACCTCATAATTCAGTAAATAATCAGTCTTTTCACATTCCTAACGATCTCCTCTACTTTAACTATTTACATTATTCATTGTCTATGTTACCGGTTGGTCCTGTCAATAACTTCTCGTTAGCTTGGTAAAGATAAGAATGATTTTCGTAGTGTGTGCGTTTTAATGCTATATAGGTTATAAACAAGTGATTCTTTAAAATAATAAAAACAAGACTTATCCTGCTACAGTTTTCACGTTGCTCAAGTTTATAAATAGAGTTATATAGAAGCTCTAGCAGTGTGCATCAGTCAAATATCTGTTTATCTGGTCTTGGTTGCCTCAATTCGTTTCTGAATAAACTATAGGCTGATTATTCTGAAATTTGTTTAGGGTAAAGAAGAAGGATGATTATACCAAACAGCTGAAGGATGAAGACATGCGTGGGGGAGATGGACCTCGCATCATTGTTGACCAGAACGGAATGGGGCCAACTGGTGGTTACATTACTCGGTAGGTTGTTGAGAATTTTTTCGTACTCTATGTACACAATGATGTTTTCACTTGGAAGTGAAGAGCTGTGGCTCTTCGGTGTAGGTGATCGATTTTGTTGCATCCCACTTACTAGGTAGCAGTAAAGATAGACATAACGGGAAACCAATTGCTAATGGGGCTACTTCCCTGAAGGTGGTCAGACCGAAGATAGCAGAGGACGGTCCACTCAAAATGAACACTTTAACTTGACAAAGTTGTTGGGGATATTAGGTCCTCTAAAATGAACCTTTTACGTCTAAATTCATAAAACTTACCTGATAGGAATTTGAAATTATCGTTTTTTCGCTTTCCGTGTACCGCTTGTTTTAATGTTCTTTACTGATGGTATCTTCTCATTGCTAGTTTTTCCGCTTTCAATGTAATACCCTTTTAGTTTGCTTCAAGGACATTCCTAGTGTATAAAAACCTATGAAACGTTGATATGAGCCAGTTTAACTTTGCTTCAAAGTGTTCTACGCAGTTTTCTAGTTGCCTGTTATGAAGAGTTACCAGCGTCCCGTCTTTTTTGGTGATGGTTTCACTCACCATCACCGGTATCCCTAATAGACTTAGATGGTTGCCGGGTGTACGCTACCTAACGCTAAAGCCTTCTCAAACTCTTGCTTGCACTACTCACTGCTGGTTAGAATCATTGCGAAAACCTGGTTAGTCTTCACTTAAGTTGTTTTCACTCCTCGTTGTGATGGGAGTGTTCTGGAATGAGTCTTCTTGCGTCAATCATTTTAAATGACGTGAAAGCCGAATGACGCTTGCTAAGTTGCAACATACGATCACAGTTGTCGATTCGTTGGCATGTGACTCCGTAAATACCCTTAAGATGCCTTTCCGATTGACTCAGCTTTCCTACTTGACGGCTATAATTATATCTAAATGTTTTGCTTTTGGTAAAATTGACAGCTCGTAGAATTGTTCCTTTGCATCATCCGAACTGCAGTCGATAGGCGCAAAGACAGAGATGAGTTTGTATCGATCAATCTCACGACCCTTCACAGTCTTGCAGAATTTTTCAGCCAAACAATACACAGACAGCTGTTGAATGGTATCTAGTCGAAGAGAGCATTTTCTGCTCTACGACTTATTGTTGTGCATGCACCAGCGATCCCACGAGAGCTGGTCATTATTTCCCAATACTCATAAGGTAAATTTTGAAGATCCACCAGGTAAGGTCAATTTGATAACCACACTCGAGTCCTTTATATGTGTCTCAGAAACAGCATGTATCCCATGACTCGTGATTTCACAGATTTGGCAAACGAGGCCTGTTTTACTATTTGATATTGAGTTCGAATATTGAAAATTTCAATATGTGGTGTTGAGAGTGGTGTCTTAAGAATAGGGCTCCAATGGTTTGGATTGGCAATGGCGCAGAGTGAGAGCTTGGGGAAGTAGAAAGTTAAATATTGGTATCAGGAGTTTGGAGGGAAAGGAGGTGGAGGTAAGGAATATAAGTTGTTTGACTGGGTCTTGCATACTACTGGAAGGTTGCGGGCGATTAACCTTTCCTAGTTGCGCAAAATGTGGAAGGCTGTTTCTTCGTAAAGTGCCTGAAAAAGACTTGTGTAACCACAGGGCCCGTCGAACATCTGCTTGAGGCCTGTCGCACAAAGCCTTTTTAGGGTTGTTGGTGTGAGGTTTGATTGTCCTAACGCCGAATAAAGGAAATCTATGCTGCCGGAACCGGGAGACGGTGGGACAAGGGTGAGTGGTATCTTTAAGTCAACCCTTTTCTATAAATCCCCTTCCCGTAGGGAAGACAGCATGGTACTTCTGGTAACTCGGGGGAAACACTCCTGTCACATCCCATCCAACAAGTTGTGCGGTTTTGTCCTCGAACCCCAGCCACAGTGTAACGGTTCACATCATAGCGGTAACTACTTTTCGTCTTACTACTATTCAACAGACTTTTTTGCCATGGACCTCGATAGAACAAGCGTCCCAACCACCGTAGCTCGTTGAGTCGTTGTGGCATATAAGCTCGCTCACCACGTCAAGATAGCAGCTGTTAGTCTGGTCATGAAATGTTATTCGGCGGTAGAGTGGTAAAAAGGCAAGACGGTTTTATGAATGAGACTCGTGAGTCAGATGTTATGCATGCAAGAGATAGCTGTAGCAAAAGTGATGAACTCTGGATTTAAGGCATAAATTTCTCATATACTTTCTTTGTTTACTAGATGCGGTTATTTTTGTTCTCTGAGAAATTTCACCGTTTGTTATTTTCCCGTCTATCAGAAGTTGATGGATTAAACTGATGCGTGGGTATAAAAGATTCTTGCTGGAATATATTTTTTTGTCTTCGTTTACACAAGGCCTAAGTCAGCTCTAAGCATTCAGAAAGCTCAAAATACATGCTGATTAGTTTCTGGATATTCTCTACATTGTTTTTGTATGACCTAAGTCAACAAGTTATTCGTAGTTTTGCCATATGTTTTATAGTACGTTATTTACTAGTCGGAGAGCGGGATTTACTGAAACAAAGAGGGTATCTTTTAATCTGTGGACTCATATCATATATCTTGATTTGATGAGATACGCTATTTCTTTTTTTGTATGATGGTATAAACTCCGTTTGTTAACAACATCTATTTGGTATGTATGCAGTTCCTGAGACTGTAAAAATGGGATACTTTTTATACGAACGGGTTTTCTGTAGTCAATATTTCTCTTGTTATAGCATCACAAATGACGCTCGTGAAGATGAAATGGATCAAAATCTACAAGAGGTTTCTGGTATGATCGGAAATCTTCGTAATATGGCTATCGATATGGGTAGTGAGATTAACCAGCAAAATGTACAGATTGAGCGAATACAGATAAAAGTAAGTGGTTTTCTGTGAATTTTCTCGCTCCAAGTAAAAAACATAGTAACATTTTAAGAAATGTTAATGATACGGTTTGTAGACAATAATCTTACAGTCGATGTCGAACCTGATAGTGGCGTATTCTTTGTGCGTTAGCATCCAACTTACTGGCTACTCCTATTTGCATACATATGAAGTAATGTGGTGTTGATTTGATGAAAATCCTTTGTAATTTTCTACCTCCATATGCGTATCGAAAACAATTTGCAGTACTCAGTTCATAAATTGATTTCATTTGTGATTTGTTGATGTACGCGACAGGTAGGTTTCACTCCGTCCTACCTACTTCTCTTCGAGTCCTTCACTTACATAATTTAGACAACTCAGAGACAAAATAAATGGGTTTGGTTTAATTTTTCATACTCTTGCTCTGTTCAATAGCTGTTTTTATTTTCTCTTATCTTAGAACTGATATATTCACGCTCGTTATCCTACATTCAACGCGATGAGTAGAATTTCTGAATAAGAATTACGTACCATGTACTCGGCTATGAGCCACGCCTTAATACCTAATAGCTAGTTTTTTATTGGTTTGCATAGCTCTAAATAGACTGAATGGGTTTGAGTTTTAACTTAATCGTTAGTAGTTAAACCTCACTTCCGCTCTCTTTGCATGCCCTGACTTTTAGACCGGGAGATGGTAGATATGCATAGGAAATTTACCATGACGCCTTCAAGTTGAGTATCCTTTACTTTGCACACTATATTACGCGAAACATAAGTAGCGTCAAGGTGGACATAACTTCCGTTATGAACTAAAGGTCCACAAACGAGTGAATAGAGATGTAATTCATTGATCTAAGTACGTTTGCTCCCAATCAATATATTACGGATTCGAACATAGAGGATCTAGCAGGCAGGTATTAACACTAGCCCTCACATGCTAGGTGTGACCGATCGCCTAGTGCATGGGCGGGCATACACTAGAATCTAATTATCTTTTGTACATGAGGGCTTCGAAACGATAGCGGTTGCACTCCAATTTTAACCAGTTAATGTGACCTATGTTCACAATATTTTGTTTTGAGTTGCACTTTAAATTTTTTTATTCCCTATTTTATCTTATTTCATTGCAGGCAAAATCGAATGCTGAACGAATTAAAAAGGCCAATGAGCAAGCTAGTAAACTACTGAAATGAATTTTCATAATTTCCCACATTCCCACTGCTGGAGAGAAACTACATCTACCACTTTGCTCCAAATAAAATCATTTTCATCATTGATTCCCTATTTAAAAGTGAAGTTTGTTGCATGTCATTGCATCATCGCAGCCCCTCACGTTTATTTATACTGTGTAGATGTTTGTTGCAGTCTAACCCGGGTAAAGTCGTTTCATAATTGGGGCCGATGCGTTTGGGCGATGATCTGTCTATCTTATTGACACTTAAATTTTATCACGTTTTTCCTCGTTCGTTTGTTAATATTCTTATTCTTTTTTTTGTAAAACCACTAATTTCCTCTTTTTTGAACAATCTTGATCCGAGTAATTATGACTGTTCATCTGGGTCACGACTTATGATGATCATTACCCTTCTCATCATTATTTTGGTTCCTCTCAAGCTTTTGTTTTTCAAGTTTTGTTGGCTCTAAGTAGTTTTTCAACGAATGCTCTTCGAAAGTAAAGCGGAGATTTGTTATCTATCCATATATTGAGGTTATTTTTTGTAATTCTATTTTTCTCTCAAAATATTTATAAACTGATGATTATAACTACTGCGATAACTATTGTTGATGATTTGTCAAACAAACATAGTAAAAAACTTTGATTTTACTATTATTCTTGCCATTTTAAAAGAGTTCATTCTTCATGCAGATTATACCGCTTTTCCTGATGCAGGATGTTAGTTTTTCAGCCCACTCAGTTGGAAGGTGTCAGATTTGGTATGCACTTAATCTGTAGCTCCATACTATTCACTTTCCGTAACATATTTGTCAGTTATGAGCTCCACTTTTTTCAGGTGGATATATTTTCCTTCAGAAATTTCTCATGTATCGTTTCCTTGAAACTGCTTTCGACTGGGTGCCAGTTTGTTTCTAGATTGTTTCGTTCTTTAACCTTGGACTTAAAAGAATGTCGACCCGGTTGAATACTGTTTATTTTTTCAATTTGTGGGACTTGAAATCAACTTCCTCAAGGTATAGTTGTTTGTAGGTAAGTGATAGGTGGATAAACGTATGTTAATCTAGCTGATCATGTTACTGAGTGATGAACAGCGATTCCGGGAAGCAACTCGGACCATTGTGTTTTGTACGCGATTGAACTTCGTATGTTTTATGTTTGAATTTAGGTGTTTAATAGCACAGGTCTATCCTGTGGTGAAAAACCCGGAATTGGTGTCACCTTACTATTGTACTGTATTGTGTAGTGATACCTGCCAGTTGGTTTTCGGGATTGAACAACATTCTGGTTTCCTTCAATTCAGCTTAGTTGTTTCCAGTAGGATAACCCATAGACTGATGAACATTACGTCTTCTGAATCATTTTATAATAGTACCAAACTGGTGGTAATGCAATATCTTTAAACTAAAAAAGTATATACCATTATGGCTGCCTTTGTGGATAAAACTAGTTTCCTGTATCTGCCGTGTTGCTTTTATAACAGTCCCATAATTCAGTCACCAAACCTTTGCTTGCAAGTAGTTTGTATCTGATTAGTGTAGATATATGTGCAAACATTTAGGATGACCCTGTCTATCATTCGGCGCTGAATAGCAGTGGTTTCTATCTGATCCATAGTGAGTTAGGCCTACAACCAAGAAGATATTTACGCCACTCAATGGTGGTAATTATGCTTAAGGTTAATGAAGAAAGTGTATTAAGGAAAAATTAACCTGAGCTAAACAGCATTTTCAACTCACCATCTTGATAAGTCTGTAAAAGAATAGGTATGAACGTAGTTGGGTTGTTATTGACAATATCTTCACAGGTATCATTCTGTTCGGAGGGATTCATAAAAGTTATTACCAATGAAATATAGAAAATTATAGTTATTTTTTACACGGATTAAGTCCACAAGTTGGCAGCTCGGACATGGGAGAGATCAACGTAAGCTTTGAATAACAAGACCCGAGAAAGCCACCTTATAGTACAGCATTTAAAAGAGATAGGGAAGGGGGTAGAAAAAGCTTTGTAGTAAATGTTGATCAGTTGATTCACGAGGGACTATCAAAAGTGATCTTTATAGATAACCACGTATTTGAACGTGAAGAGAGATTGTCTTGGTAAGGTTTGAATAAAATCCACCAGATAAAGTGTATTAAATGAGGTGGCCGTCAGACCACCCAGTGACAACTTTCTACGAGTATCCGATTATAGTCTAGTGTTATAGTGTGGGGTATTTAGCTTTATTTCACAACTTTTCAGGCTAAGTTTGAGTGTTTAGACTATAAGGTATGCGAATTTCCGCTTAGGAATGACTACGACACTAATGTGATAATAGTTGTCTGTCAACCATGGAAGAAAAATGATGCAGCTGATGTGTCTGTGAGCCTAACCTAGGAGAACAGAGGAAATAGCTGCGAGCCTGGTGAATACACTCTACCTATGATACTGCTTCGAAATCAATATATTCCGATTGGTAAGAAAACCATGGCAATTAACGATGTCAACAGGTTTAGTTATAAGTGGTTGGAAGTGAAACGGAAGACGTAAGTTAATGTAGATAAACATTTCCAGACAGTCATTCGTTGTTAACCAGCTGGAATTAAACGACTTAGAGTTATGTGAGGTAATAGTCATGCTGATGTAACACGGATACCACCAACAATCTAACTTCCGTATGTATACTCGAAAATGTGGGCTGATTGAATTTAGTATTTTTGATAGATGATTAGAAGCAATAAGGATTTAATCAATCATTATTACTCTTCAAAAACAAGATATTCAGCAAAGAGGGCTCTTTTCAACGAATTTATTCTCAAGCTGTACATTCGTGTATATATATGATATTTGAAGACTAATCTGTGAGGAAGATTTAACTGAAATAATGGGGGGTTGAAACAATAATAGTGATAGTGGTGGTAATTACAATGTTGATAGTTGATGATGTAAAGGTCGGATGACAACAAAAAGGTTACGTAAGACTTTTAAATCGTTTATAAAGTGCATATAGATTTACTCTTAGAAATCGTTTGAGTCATGGTTGGATTGTGAATCAATTAGTGTGCATTTCGGTAAATATATAATCTTTTGTAATTTGTCTTATTGTTCATACGTTGCACTTCAGGTTAGTTCACTCTTAAACTAATTTCCACTCTTGGTATTTCTTTTATTGTTCAAATTAGCAATTGGAAAGGTCGTTAAATAATTTTTAAAAAATTCCTTACAGTCCTTTGAATATTCTAAAGACTTGGAGTATTTTGCCTGCCATGAACGTGCAGTCAGTCATCGAATAATATTTTAGTTTTCCCACACAGCTTTTCTTTATCTAGTACTAGTCAGTTTTTGAGAGAAGTTATTCGTGTCTGAACAGTGTAAAATGATGAAAGTAACATATTTAGTAGCTATACCTGGTTATTGACATGAAGTAGGAGTTTCTGTGGAAGTCAGGTTTCATTTGGAAGGTGGTAGCATATCGAATCGGTTGTTGCTTGTTTTTTGGTTTATCAAGCATCCAGGTTATCCCCTTTTCAGTCGCATACATATACAAAGCTTACTAACCAACTTTAATATAGGTAGTGGATTTAACGATGCGTAAATGCGGTAAACTTCAACTTTTTTGTTAATAATTTTATGAGAAAAACCGTGAAATATTTTAGCAAAGATAGAGGGAATAACACCTCTGGTGTTTTGAATAATAATCGTAAAACTTTCTTAAATGGTAATATTTAGCGTACCTGCGGGAAATGCAATATATATATATATATATATATATATATATATATATATATATATATATATATATATAGGAAAAAGAAGTGAACTATTTATGATCATAATTACTTTTCTACGGAAATGTGGCACTCTTGGAAAGTAAACTTTGAACAATCTCGAAATTATTTAATTGCATTCAGACAAGATATTTATATTTCATCTAGAGTGAGTTAGAAATAAGTTATCCAATTGTTTCTTTAAATCTATCAATTTTATATCTCAGTGATTGCTGGTTATCAACTTGAACATCTGA